CCTTCCCCAGATCAGGGAAGTTTTCAGCTATTATTTCCTCAAATAAATTTGCTGTTGTGTTTTATCTGAGCTTTCTTCTGAGACTCTCCTTGCCTGTGGTGGACATTGGCTTGAATGTGGTGAGTTTTAACTAGGTGTGCTCTGGTCTGCTTATGAAATGAGGCTTGACACAGCTTCCACCAGAACCAAGGTCCTGCAGAACTCTCTGCTTGGGAGATGTGGTGTGGGCAGGGGTTTGTGCTGGTCTTCTGGGCTAGGGACCCAGAAGGGACTGGGACTGAGGCAAGTTTGACTGAGAAAAGCAGTCCTGCCAGAGTGGGGCTTGGTATAAGCAAGTTAGGCGGCCAGTGTCTGCACTGTGCTGCTTCCTGAGGGGGCTCTGTGTTTATGCGAAGGGGTGGTGGGGGTGGGGAATGGCCAGCCAGCTCCTTTGTTTCAGAGAGGTATCTCTGTGAGTTCTGTCTCTCAGGGACATGCTCCAAGAAGAGCAAATAATGTCCCTGTTGTGCGCCCTAGGCATTCTTCAGATCACTATGTCCACGCTGTGTGCCCCTGGATTGTTTGCCTGCCTTCCCTTCAGGAGCAGCACATTACCCTCTGGGCTCCCAGTGAAGCTTGCTGACCTTTAAAACTCCAAACTTTATGCCCCACTGGTTCCAAGAACTCATGAAGTTCAGCCCCTCTCATTTTCCAAGCCAATGGGTATGGGGAAAACGTTCTCCTTGTGTATTCCCCTGTGTGCTTCTCTTTCTCTTGTCCTTCTCTGTGACCACATCTCCCTCTCCTCCACAGCACCTGCAATCTGATCTGTCTCTTCCCTAAACCAGGTCTCTACACTTCCTACTTTCTTCAGTGTGACTCTTCTCTCCCTTTAGTTGTGGAGTTTGTTCTGTCCGTCTTCGGGTCAATTTCTGGAGTATTTAGGATGATTTGATAGTTATCTAGTGGTGTTCATGGGATGAGGCAAGCCTAGGGTCTTCCTACTTTGCCTCCATCTTCCTCTCCTTTGATATGTGGGGGTTTTGATCCATTTATCTGGATGGCATTGCTTTCCTCTACAGTTTATTGATCTGGCTCTAAGTTATTTCTAATTCCACCTTTCCTCTGAATGTATGGTTACAGTAACAGCTGGATAGAAGAGCCATGCTGAATGGTAGCACTGTGATAATTCTGTCTCAGTTCCCCAGCCACACCCCCTCTCAAATTATCCTTCATGAGCCAAATTCTCTGCTCCACTGCATCCTCAGGGAAGCAGTACCTAATAAAAGGACATCACAACCTCATCTTGATTCTCCTTTTGTTCAGGTACCATGTGACTAAAGACTAGTAATCAGAATAATATTTTTAAATATTAACAACCTACTCAGCCATGTAAGGAAGAGATATATTGAATTATTAAAATATTCAGACTGATAGACGGATCACCTTATATCAATTTTGCATAACCTACACCTCAACGGTTCCATGAACCCCAAAGAAAAAGAACATTTTTGTAGTATGTTAGTATTTAAGGGAAGAAGTTTATAGTTTTTGTTACATTTATCAAATGGTTCTCTGACCAAAATAGGTTAAGAAGCACTTACTGAGGATAACTGTTTTTCAATTCTTAGCTATACAGGAGAATATTTGGCATTAAAATCATGATAAACATAATACAGACTGTTATAGTGCCTCAAGGCTCTTAAAATGAGTATCAGTAATGATTATGTAGTACTTTGAAAATTTTAAATTATTTGAGCTTTCTCAATTCATTCTATTAAAATGCAACTGTGTAAGCATAACAATTATTTAGATTTTGAATAAGTGGAATTTTATGCAAGTATCTCCTTTGTCACTAATTACTGTATATGACACTCTACAGAAATCAACCTCTTCAAATTTCAATCTTCTTACTGGTAAAATAGCGATATCCATGTAATCTATGCCTATTTAGGCTATGTTGGATAAAGAGACAGAAAAGTAATTGAACAGGGGACCAGTGGTTTAAATGTTTTTAAATCAGGGATTTTAGTTCTGACCTGGATTCAAACTCAGACACAATCTTGACTCTGATACAATAGTCTCCTAAATAGTCTCCCTACTCCCAAGTTTCCTCCACCAGACATTTTTTCAAGCAGCAGTCTGCATGACCCTTAAAAAAGTGTAAGTGAGGTCATGTCATTCTCCTCAAAGCTCTCCACTGGCTTCCCATCTCATTCCAAAAAGAAGCTGAAGTCATTGCCATTGTTTGCAACCTTACAGCTCAAGGTGAGGTCTGCAGACCAGCAGCATCAGCTGAAACCAAACTCTATGGGAGAGCTACTAAATCAGAATCTACGTTCTACCAAGAGCCTCAGGTCATACAAATGTCCATCAAAGTTTGAGAAACAGCCTTGATGGCTTCTCCTTTTCTCCTTTCAATTTTCCCCTTCTCATTCCACTTCAGCCACAGAGGCCTGGCCTCCCTGCAGTTCATCCACATGCCAGACTCCCTCTTGCAGCAGGAACTTTACATTTGTCATTCAGTCAGCACAAAAATCTCTCTTCCCCAGTTATCTGCAAGGATCTCCCCTTCATCTCCTTCAGTCTCTCCCAACTGTTGTCATCTTGGTGAGCCATCCCCTGACAACCCTACCTTAAACTGCAATCCTCCCTCCCCACAACATATTCTTCATGTGTCTTCAGAAAGTTATTTTTCTCTATAGGACTTAACATTACCTGGCATATTATATCATTATTTATTTGTTTATTATCTGTCTCCTCCCCATAAGATCCACGAGAGCAGAGATTTTTGTCTCCCCTCTATCCCCATTACCTAGAACAATGACCAATATGTATTTGTTAAATTCATGAATCAGATGAGCTAACACATATAAAGCTAAACACAGTTGGGGGTAGGCCCTCAATAATTGATATCCATGGTAAATATTATGTTTTGTTGGACATTAAACGTATTTCTTCTAGGCAGACAGAGTATAGTAGTCTTTCAGAAATCAAAAAGACATTTTGGACAAGTCCCCAGTTCATGCTATGAAAAGTTGAAAAGAAGTTATTACAGTAATCCTCAGTAGACAGTAAATTTCATAGGTAAAGAACTGTGCATATATATTTTTGTTTATTTCATTTTTTTCCCACAGAACTAGCCCCATTACATGGCACAGTTCCAGGAGAATGGCAGACACTAAATAATGAATAAACAAATACAATTTAAACATATATAAAGGTAGTATATAAGAATCTGTCTTTGACTCTTTGGCATCCTTGATAGCCCTAACCTGGCTGCCTGTCTGGTCTTCTGATTTTCTTGTACTAGTATTTTATATTTGTCATTAACTTGAAGTAACAAAATTATTAATCTGAATGCAACACCTTTAAGACAAACCATGGCTGGTCTCTGGTTAAAACCAGGTGGCTTAATTATCTAAGGAGGACTGATAGCAAAACTTAACAATAATGACACAGCTACTAGTTATATCAGGAAACTGTGTAAGCATTTTAGCTGTGTCATTTAATATATGCAATGCTATTATAAGCTAGGTATTATTTTTAATACCTATAATACCTATCTTTAGGATGCATCAACTGAGGCCTAGAAAGGTTAAATAACACGCCCAAGGTCATATAGAAAAGCTATTGATCCACTGCAGAATGAGTTATGTCAAGAGTCAAGGATTTATTTATCCTCTGCAACTACTTTCAGATGCTAATTTTTTTAGTAATGGAATTCTTTTTACCTCACTGAGCAAACTGTTGCATGAGGGCTCAGTGACTAGAACAGATAATAGCAGCACGGCTCTTGATCAAGCAGGGATTAGGCAGAGTGAAGACCCATTTCCTCAGTCCTCAGCCTTCTCCTTTGCCTCCTCCTTATCCATTGGCTCTGTACAGCACCTCTGCAGAACCTCAGTGATCTAAGGAAAACTTTTGCCCTGTGGAAAGGAGGTGGGATAGGCATCCAAAGAGCAGGCAGAAGTTCTAAAATCTCTCTCCAAGTAAAAATAAAGGGGCCAGGGAAACCATCCAAATAGGTAGAAAAGATCCCACACAGAGGATTCTGTGTACTACCTTTATAGATTGACCATGGAGGTAAAAATCTGTCTATATAAGTAACTTGGGATTCCAAAAAAAAGTTTGGACCATATCATACTGATGTCTCTCCAGCTCTAAAATGTCATGATGTAATGATCTGGAGTGGGCAATAAGCAAAATATGATTTGATATATAATTTTTACAATTTTCTTGCTTCAAAACCTCTAGGTAGTCACTTCTCTCAGCTGGCAACAGGTAACCATGGACAAGGAAGGCAACATGAATATGCATGAAGAAGTCAGAATACCTGTTTTAGGATTCCAGTTCTATAATAACCTTGAGAAAGTCACCAAACTCTGAAATAAAAAGATAAACAATGCTCTTCTACCTCACAGGTAAAGGTAAAATGATATAATAATGATGAAAACCTTCGGAACTACTGAAGTTGTATGCAAATACTAACAAAAGTATTAGCAGAAGTACCAAAAATAGACTTTAGGGTTAAAGAATACACACACCCTACTTCTATTGAGAAAATTCTATGAGATGGTATTTGGACACTGAATATCTATTTGAGTTGATAATATATCCTTAAGTCAATAATCTGCCAGTCAAGTTATCCAGCACATTGTCAGTAGCATTCATTCATTACCCATTTGACATCCATTTGATATTTACCACAATGTTAATTTCTTACTTATTTTACCACCACAGATAAATTATTTGAAGGAAAACATCTAGTGAAAATTTCCCTTTAATTTTTGCTGACATCGACAATAGCCTATCAAAACAATTTTTTATAGATTATTGAATTATAAGTAAAAGTGTAAGTATTCTGAAATTTTACCCAAAGGAGATGTAGCAAAAATGAGACATAATTATTACACTTTAAGCTGTGTGTCATTTTCTTAAATTTAAATAATTAATTGCAATTATAAAAAGGGAGGAATACAGTTGGTGAAAGCAAGAAAAGATAATTGCTTTAGACTTACTGCTGCATGAAGAACTGAGGCATTGCAATGAGCATTGTTCCAACTCCCATGATTAGGCACCCTGTTCCGATTATTTTTGGCCTGTGAAGTTTGGCTCCAAAGTAGCTTACAAACATTATAACTAAGAGATTCCCTTGGGGTGAAGAATAAAATGGTCATCAGTTAGATAACTTAGAAAAAGTCATCAGCATAACTAAATTAACGAATGTCTATAGCAGGTCTGGCAATGTTTTGTTGTAACTAAACTGTCTCCCTACCATCTTTCCCATCCTTTGTCTTTCTTTGCTTTAATCTAAGATGACTGTTGAAATTGTCTGCATACTCATTACTTCAATTATCCATTTATCAAAATACCTTAATTATGAACACTACTACCTCAATTTCATCCACCCTAATTATTTGTCCTTTTAAAGTGTTTTATAAGTAAATCAAATTGTAGAAGGGTTCCTTTATTGCTCTCTTAAGTTTTCCTTAGTGATTTTGAAGTGAACTTTATTACTGTTTCTTCATTCATTAATATTTTCTATTAAAGTTTTTATCAGTTTCCCATTTGCTCTTGAAACATACGTTACAATATTCTTGTTTTAGCAGATATTCCTCATAGAAAAAGAAAAGCAAACACAACTATACCTCACTTTATTAAATCAAATTATGAAATTCATATTAATACTAAAATACTTTACAATTTGTTACATGCTTTTTACAAAAAGACTCAAAACAGAGGTAAAAATTACTTCACATAAGCAAACTTCAGGAATATACCAGTTATATAATCTCAATGTTTACTTATAATCCAAATTTATGAAATACAAAATTTCCATAAAATGTACCCATCTTTTAAAAAAATAATTGAAGAAATTTTTTTGAAGGTGGAAATTACATTTTTATAAAAAGTCTCTAGAGAAGCATATGATAAATTACTTTTAGTTGGTGATGGTGATGAGTGACTAAATATGCTTTAGGGAAAATATCCTCATATTTTGCTGTATACAAAAATACTGGAAGAAGGTGGTGAGGAAAACAGAAACCTTAAAAGTGCAAAATCTTGGAAGCTCCCAACAGTTTCTCATTCCATGGATCTAGGGGTAGGCCAAGAAATCTGCATTTGTAAGCTCAAATGTGCTGATGGAGATGGTTCCAGGAACATGCTTTGATAAACATTGTTTAGGATCTTAGATTTCAAAGGGCTTTTAAAGTTTCAGCTCTGCATTTGGAAGTTTTTAAAAACTGCAGTGCTAGGTAGAGTAAGAACTTAGCAACTCCCCAGCAATTGACTGTGATGGCTGATGGGTAGTGTTGCTTTGAAGCTCTCTTCAATGTTTCTAATTTTCTAGCAAGAGTATGTTTGCTTACATCTGTAAGCAATCATCTAATTTACTACTGTTTGTTCACATTGCCAGCTTTAGTCAAGTGCAAAAAGAGCAGCGATTTTTATAGCCTTGAGGACAATAATGACAGCGAGAAAATTAGCTTGCATAGTGGCTCTAGATTTTATGGTTCCAGAAAGAATTAAGCTTCTTTTAATTTTCACAATGAAAAAAAACCTTGAATATGAGATTTTTCATTTGATATTAAAGCATTTAGAAGAAATTTTGTATATTACATTGATAATTATGTCTATACTTTTGTTAATGTGTCACAATTAATAAAATACAGTGAAAGCTGACCTTCAGTTTATAATGTATCCCTGCAACCAACATCACCTACCCTGCCCAACTTGCACACCACCAACACCTCACAATAAAAGACTCATGTTTCAGGCTGTTTCTGTGTTACATTAGTGGGTATGCCAAAGACCACATAATACCACTTCAGTGTCTGTGATATCTATAGAGTTTTTTCTTTCTTTACTTAGTATCCCTTCTGAGTTCTCAGAAGATACACATAGAAAATTAATGGTGATAATCTTTAAAAAATTAAATTGGATATCAAAAATCAATTCTATTATCATAAATGAACAGATAACAAAGAGGAGGTGTGTACATACACATGTGCATGCACGCCCCCCCACACACAGAGGAATATTATGCAGCCATAAAAAGGGATGAGATCATGCCACTTGGGACAACATGGGTAAACCTGTAAGTGAAATAAGTTAGACTGAGAAAGACAAATACCATATGATTCCACTTATAAGTTGAATTTTAAAAAAACAAATGAATAAAAAAAAGCAGAATCAGAACTTTAAATACAGAGAACAAACTGAAGGTTGCCAGAAGGTAGGAATGGTTGGGCAAAATGCGTGAAGGAGAGAGGGAGATACAGGCTACCAAATTATGGAATGAATAAGTCATGGGAATAAAAGGCACAGCATAAGGAATACAGTTAATGATACTGTAATAGTGATGTGATGGAATAGATGGTAACTACACTTGTGGTGAACATAGCATAAATTATAAACTTGTCAAATCACTAAGTTGTACACCTGAAACTAATGTAACATTTTGTGTCAACTATACTCAAATTAAAAAAAAAATTAACATAAATTCAGCAAGGTTGCTGCATACAGATAACATTAGATATTAATACTGTTCCAATATTCCAGGAATTACTAAATAGGAATTGTAACAAAAAAAACTATTACTGTAAAAGCAATGATTAGAGGGAAATTCATTGCATTGAATACATATATTAGGAAAGAAGAAAAATCTAAAATCAGTTATCTAAGTTTCTACCCAGGAAACCAGAAAAAGAAGAGCCAATTAAATCTAAAGTAGGTAGAAGAAAAGACATAATAAAATTAGAGCAGAAATAAATGAAATTGAAAACAGAAACTCAGAAGAGAAAATCAGCAAAACCAAAGGTGATTCTTTGAAAAGATCAATGAAATCAATAAGCCTCTAGTCATGCTCACCAAGAAAGAAAAGAAAAAAAAAAAGAGAGAAGATACTAATTACTAATACCAGAAATGAAAGGGGAGACATCACTATAAATTTTAGGGACATAAAAAGGATAATAAAGGAGTACTATGAACATCTCTATGCTTACAAATCTGATAACCTAAATAAAATGGACCAACTACTTAAAAGACACAATCTGCCAAATCTAAGAATTAATAGACAATATGAACAGGCCTATATCTATTATAGAAGTTGAACCAATAATCAATAGCCTTCTAAAACAGAAAGCACCAGGCCCAGAAATATTCACTGGTGAATTTGACCCAGCAGTTAATGAAGAAATTATACCAATTCTCTATAATCTTTTTTGAAAAACAGAAGCAGAGGGGAAATTTCCTAAATCATTTCTATGAGGCCAGCATTACCCTAATACCAAAACCAGACAAAAAAAATCTCTATAAATCAATATCTCTCATGAACACAGGTGTAAAAATCCTCAACAAAATATTAAGTCATATTCAACAATATATAGAATTAGACTCCATGACCAAGTGGGGTTTATCCCAGGTATACAAGGCCAGTTAAACATTAGAAAATTAATTAATATAATCCAGCACATCAACAGGCTAAAGAAGAAAAATCACATGCTCATATCAATAGATGTAGAAAAAGCATTTGACCAAAATCCAACAACCATTCATGATAAAAACTCAGTAAATGCAGAAGAGAGACAAATTTCCTCAACTTGTTAAAGAACTTCTACAAAAACATACAGTTAACATCATACTTAATGATGATAAACTCAAAGCTTCCTACTAAGATCAGGTACAAAGTAAGAATGTCCCCTCTCACCATTACTTTTCATTGTACTGGGAGTTCTACTAAATATAATAGGACAAGAAAAACAAGTAAAAGTACACAGTCTGGGAAGGAAAAAATAAAACTGTCTTTGCTCCCAGAAGATATGATCATCTATATAAAAAATCCAAAAGAACTGACAAAGGAACTCCCGAAACTAATAAATGATTATAGTATGTTGCAAGATGCAAGGTTAATATACAAAAGTAAACTGCTTTTCTACATGCCAGCAATGAACAAATGGAATTGAAAAAGCATTTACTTTATCACCCCCCAAAATGATATATTTAGGTATAAATCTAATAAAATATGTACAAGATCTACATGAGAGAAACTATAAAACTCTGATGAAAGAAATCAAAGAAAAACTAGATAAATGGAGATACATTCCATGTTCATGAATAGGAAGACAGTATTGTCAAGATGCCAGTTCTATCCAACTTGTTCTATAGATTCAATGCAGTCTCAGCCAAAATCATAGGAAATTATGTTGTGGATACTGACAAAATGGTTTCTAAGCTGACAAACTGGAGAGGCAAAAGACCCAGAATAATCAACACAATACTGAAGAAAAACAAAGTTAAAGGATCGACATTACCGAACTTCAAGACATACTGTAAAGCCACATTAATCAAGACAGTATAACAGTGGTGAAAGAATAGACAAATAGATCAATGGAATAGAATTTATAGCCCAGAAACAGACCTACTTAAATATAGTTAACTGATCTTTGACAAAGGAGCAAATGTAATAAGATAGAGCAAACATAATCTTTTCAACAAATGGTGCTGGAACAACTGGACATCCTCATGCAAAAAAAATGAAGTTAGACACGGACCTTACACTCTTCACAAAAATAAAGGCAAAGAGATCACAGACCTAAATTTAAAATGCAAAACTGTAACACTTCTAGAAGATAACTTAGGAGAAAACCTAGATGACCTTAGGTTTGGTGATGACTTTTTAGATGCAATACCAAAAGCAGAATCAGTGACCAAAAAAAATTGGATAAGCTGGACTTCATTAAAATTAAAAATTTCTTTTCTGTGACAGATACTGTCAAAAGAATGAAAAGAAAGCCACAGACTGAGAGAAAATATTTGCATAAGTCATATCAGATAAAGGACAGTTATCAAAAATATACAAAGAACACTTAAAACTCAACAATAAGAACACAAACAATGAGATTTAAAAATAGGCCAAATAACTTAACAGGTCACCAAAAAAGATAAACAGGTGGCAGATAAGCATATGAAAAGACATTCAAAATCATATGACATGAGGGTACCGCAAATTGAAATGACAATGAGACACCACTACATACTTATTAGAATGGCCAAAATCCAAAATACTAAATGCTGGTGAGGGCATGGAGCAAAAAGAAGCTCATTCATTGCTAATGGGAATGCAAAATCATACAAACACTTTGGGAAAC